GGGGGGGGGGAAGGTGACGGGGGTGCGGATCGGTTCGAGGGTGAGAAAATCAAGGGGACGGCGGGGTAACGTCCGAGGACGAAGGCCTATCGCCCGCATCGGTACGTAGGCGAACCAGGGGACGGGTTGGGCTGGAGGAGGAGGGGGATTGGCTCCCTCTCCGTTGCGCGGTGCTTGAGGTGGCGGCTGCTGGGTCGCCATCTTGGGGCTTCGGCGGCTCCGGATCCCTGGTCGGATCGTTACCGATGCGCAAGCTGGCTCCACTGGCGAACTTCAGCTGGCGTTTCCCCGTGGCAATTTCTTCGCGTCTTCGCGCTGCCTCCGGATCTTCCGCCTCCGTGCCCGTGCGCGCCGCTTTCTCCGGCAAGGCTTCCCACTCAGATCCGGTTTCTTCTCCCTCCTCTTCTTCTTCTTCTTCACTCAGCTCGCCCTCGCTATACTCGCTATACCTTCCCTCCTCCGACGTTTCCTCGTTGTCGTCTTCTTCGTCGTCGTCGTCGATCACCACTTCCTCCGCCTTCGGATAAAAGGCGTGAGGGATGATGTCGTACGGCTTCAGATACTCCTGCCGTGATGGTAGAGTATCTTCGTCCCTGGGCTCCTCTAAGCACGCAGTCCACTGAAGGTACGGATCCAATGATCGCTCGAGAATGTATGGAGCAGGGCTGTCGTCGCTTTGTGAATAGATGTCGGGCAAGAGATCGTCCGCCAATTGTACGATCGACGCGATGAGCTCCTGCGCAATCAACTGGCGGCAGCCCGACCGTACCGATCCGAAGAGAAAGCCGAGAAGATCGCCTTCGACGTTAGTCCTCCAAGCTTGGATGATCAGCAACTCTAAATTTTCGATCCACGCAGGATGCTCGTTGGTCTGCGTCCACGTCACCTGTACTCTGGCCAAGCAGAACGACAGCTCGTCGCCACAGTCGCCAATGTGCAGGGTTAATAAGCGGGACAGAGAGAGGTTCGAACGAGAAGAAAAGAGAAGGATGAAGATCGGATTGCCAGAAGGTGGAGAAAAGAGAGGGGAGACCGAAGATGGAGAGAGGAGCGAGGGGATCGGCGTGGTTTATTGGGGACGTGGGAAGGGGACGAGGGTGGGGATCGCAACTGGCGGCTCGCGCGGCGAACGGCGGATGTCGCCAACATCTGGTGCAAAGGTCGGGAGGAGATTGTGTCCTGGTCGGGAGAGACCGTGCTGCCATACGTTGGAGACCTACTCCGTCCACTCTCGCAGTGAAGCCAAGATCGCGGTATGCCACCGTGGGTTGACCGAGCTGATATCGCTGCTGAACGCCGCAACCGTGGTGACGTGGCTCGTTCCGGGAGCCGCTCGCCGATGAACAGCGATTACCTCCGCCAATACCACTGCGTGTGGACTCCCTTCGATTCGAAACGCGACGGCGGCACACACACCCACGTCGCAGAAGAACTGCGCCAATCGCCGAAGATCCGTATTAAGCCGCGGATGACGAACTTGCCGAATTTCCGAGATATGGCCACGTGGCTGCAACAGCTCTTCGTCAAGAGCCCGCTCCGTGATGAAACTCATGGCGAGGTCGAAGAGGAAGACGAAGGGCAGGAGGGAGAGCGCGGAGAGAGAGTTAGATCGTCGTTGTTCTCCTCGCTTTCGGAGGAGAGAGAGGGAGGAAGATGAGAGGGAGGGAGAAGACGAAGGTAGGAGGTATGCCGGACGATGGGGACAAAGCTATGGCTGTCACTAGCCTCAGGCGCGATGCGCACTGTGTTGGCGTCGTTAGGACCGATCTCGATTACGCGAAAGCAGCCAGAGAACTTGGGAGTGAGTTTGCGATCGCGTGCACATTTACGTACCTGCACTAGGTCCCCTAATTTATATTGATGCTGGGGCCCAACATTTCCATTCCGAGCCTAGGAGCTACGGACCTGCCTACCGTGGGTCAGATCGGTCATACTTTGTCTTTTTCGGGCTACCTTCGGAACGGCCCGCTCCATTAATTCGGTGTACTTTTTGGCCTTGGTCTTGACGGCTGTACGCGTGTCTCTACCCTCTGCTTCGACAATTTCCGAGTTACCCCAGTAGTCGACACAGGGGAGGCTATTAGTATGAAGCTGAAAGGGGGTAAACCCCGTGGATTCGTGAGGGGTGGCCCGGTGGATCCCGACGATCTGATATACGATCTCGAGCCACGGACTCGTGTCGTGTGTCGCTAAATTCCTGCGAAGGGCAGTTTTAATCATACGGTTGGCGTTCTCAGCCAACCCGTTCGATTGGGACACGTGGGGTGCCGTATGTCGAAGCGTGACGCCGCTTCGTGCGAGCAGTTCCTCTACTTCTCCCTTAAATTCAGACCCATCGTCGATTTAAATTTCTTCCGTATGTAGATGAGTATAAAGGAACCGATCGATGTACGTGGCTATTTCTGCGGCTTTGCGGGTCTTACAGGGATAGACCTCGATGTACTTAGAAAAATGGTCAACTAGTACTAAGAGGATAGAATATTCACATCGGTTTGGGCCAGGTGGCACGTCGATATCTGTTGTGTCCATACTGACTCGTTGGAAAGGACGCTCTACTTCCGTTGGTACTATCGTGTTTGGTTCTCGTATTGGGGCGCGATCGACGGCACAGACCAGACAGTTGGCGACAATGTATCTGACATCATCTCGCATCGGTTCTGGTCTATAGTTGCCTCTGTGACACGTATCGCAAAATGAGCGGCCTGTTCTTCGTGAGCAGATCGGATCCAATCATATCTCTGGAATGGATGGGGAACCGTGAACCACGAACCCGATCCGTCAGTTTTACGCTTCTCTAAATGACCGTTGATCCACCGATAGTCCCGAGATCTCTCGGTTGCCCTACGTCTGTCGTGTTTGGTGAGGTGTCCCAATGATAATCCCGCTAATTTCGCTATTAAAATTTTAACCGTCCAAACCTCCGCTCGTCGGTATTTTTTGTCGTATTTAGGGCCTTCCGTACGGGTGGCCTCGAATCGAACCTCCGTGGGGAGTTTGTTCAGTCTACACAGGGGACACCTCCATTCCTTGCTACTCGTCCGATATCGAACGTAGGCCCCATGCGCACCATTGACACACGTGGCGCATTCTACCCAAATGACAAACCCAGTTTCGAAAGGATGACAGTCGACCCCATAAACCCGTGCAATACACGTACAAAAATAACAGAATTTATCGGGGAGGGTGGCAAAGAAAGCTGAGGAAGTAAGAGGGGCAAAATTAGTAGGAGAGGAAGAGGTTGCACATACAGGTGGGGTAGTCATGATGACAGAGGAGGAGAGATGAGACCGAATTGCGGAGAGGGTAGAATTAGTCAAATTGATCCTCGTGTCACTTACTGCTTGGACAAGATATCCACTTGGCCGTATCGAGGTCCAACCTCCTGTTGGGGTTCGTTCCACAGAATCACCTCCTCACTCTTCGGAACTTTCTCAGGCCGGTGCAATCGTGTCAGTCCATCCGCATTCCTGTGTCTCTGCTTCCGATGACGAATGTCAAAGTCCATGCTCTGTAGCACCGTTGCCCATCGCCCGATCATGCCAGAGTAATCCATCGATTTCTTCAGAGCCAACAGGGGCTCATGATCGGTTACCGAGGTGAACTTCCGCCCGTACAGGTAAGCGCTAAAGTGACTGATTCCCCAGAGAGCCGCATAGCATTCTCCCGTTGGAGCGGCGTAGTTGCGCTTGCAGGCTGGCACCAATTTGGATGCATACTCCACCACACACTCGAGTCCACTTGGTCCCACTTGGGCAAGGATAGCCGAAATTGCCTCTGGCTGCCAGTCAGTGATGAGAACAAAAGGCTTTTCGGGATCCGGTCTTATAAGGACCGGAGCCGAAATGAGAGCGGTCTTGAGTTTTGAGAACGCTTGATCACACTCCGGCGTCCAGATCAACGACTGATCTTTGCGCAGCAAATTCGTGAGGGGTCCCGCGATCACCGCGAATCCCTTGATAAATCTTCGGTAGTACGAGGCTAGGCCCAAAAAGGCATGAACTTGCGTGATAGTCGTAGGCACCGGCGCATCTCTGACGACTGCCACCTTCTGCAGCTCCGGTTGGAGCCCTTTGTCTGTTACCACGTGTCCCAGGAAGGAAATGGCGGTAAGAAAAAACTGACACTTCTCAAGCGCCACCTTGAAACCCGCATCTCGTAACGCATGCAGAGCCCACTCGATGTGCTGTACGTGTCCCTCGTAGGTACTCGAGTACACCAGGATGTCGTCCATGTACACAATCACGCAATAGTTGATGATGCTCTGCGCCAAACGAGTCTTCCGTACGAAATTATGAAAAGCCATATTCATGGCTCTCTGAAAGGTCGCGGGAGCGTTGCAGATACCTATCGGACATCGGACTCATTGCCACGTACCCTCGAAAAGCACAAACGCCATTTTTGGACGATCTTCCTCTCGGACAAGAAGATGATGGAACCCATGGCGGACATCAAACTTACTGAAAAATCGAGCACTCCCAATCGCATCCAACAACTCATCATTCCGGGGGAGGGGGTACACATCCTTGATCGTGATATCATTCAATTTTCGATAATCAATACAAATGCGAATCCCTCCGGCCTTTTTAGGCACGATTACTACAGGAAAGAACCATGGACCTATAGCGAGTTCGATCCATCTATTAGCTTCGAATTCCTTAATCCGCTGAAAAGCGACCGCTCTTTGAGCTGGCGAGTATCGGTAAGGAGCGCAACTAATGTGCGGATGTTCTCCCTTGAGGATGGAATGCTCAATCACACTAGTCAAGCCGGTATCATTATCATGCACGCTCAACACCTCTGCATAACCGTTCAAGATATCGATTAGTGATTTTCGAAGTTCCGTGGGGACGTGGCTTGGTAGGGTGATTGTTGATTCCCCAGGGGTCTTAAGGGGTATATTGATCCAATCAACCGACCGCTCCCTTCGATCGTAAACACTGGAAAAGACAGAACTGCTGGTGCGAACAGAAAAGACAGTCGCAATCATCTGTGATTCGGCGGGACTGATCATTTCGGTTTCTTTAGTTTCGGCGTCCGTTTCTGAATCGGCTGAAATCTGTTCTACGGTCAATCCTGTTAGGTCCGTCATCTCTTGCATTAGATCAGGTACGTCATCTACGGGCGCTTTTGCCTTCTGTTTAATCAAAGCGATGGTCGCCCCCGTTGTTAGTAACGATCGGGGCGGGAAAACAGAAACGTCTAGATACTGTTTCGTTGGTTGATAACGTGTTCGTAAGGAAAGTACTCCCTCGTACAAGGTACGAGAAGGTTCCAAATCATCAGCCAGGTCAGACACTTGTAATATGGGTTCCCTGAGGAGGACTGGCGGACTGACCTGGGCTTTCGGAGGCACAAGCGTGCTGTCTCTTGAATCCACGTGGAAGCTTCGGGCTGTGTCGGGCTATGATAAATTGGGTATCTGGACGGATAATCTGGTCGGATTATCTGGCCAGATGATGGGGGGGTAGGATCATCCGGAAATCCGGATGATTAAAAAAAAGGCCAAAAAAAAAGCAAAAAAAAAGTAAAAAAAAAAAAGTGATATTGCGCATGCAAAATACAGTAGAACTACATTCCTATTTCATGAAAAGCTTGATAGGGCATTGAAGGGTTCAAAAGGGGTAAGATAGGGAATAAAGGGGTTTAGAGGGGGGATGCTTAATTCATTCTATAATTTTTTATTTTAATATTATTTTCTTCTTCTGTTTTATTTTTTATCTTTATATCTATTGAGATATCAAAGATGACCTCAAGCCAAATGTTGTTTGTATGATTCATCTGAACAACATACTTTTGTTCCAGATTTTATTGATTTTTTTTGTTTTTTGGTTAAAAAAAATATTTTGCACAGGGCCGGATTCTCCATATCCGGAATTAATCCGGAAAATTCATCCGGATTGAAAATTCCGGATAAAATTGGTCTGCCGGATATCCGGAATTTTATCATAGGTGTCGGGGCACACTTGAAATTCTTCCGGAATCTCGTGTTCGAAAAGTTCGACCAGGTGCTTCCATTCATCCTCACTAGGCAATTCTTCTTCGTATTCCTGTTCCCCGATTCCGTTGCTGAGGTCTGAGGAAGAATACCCCTCGACATCGATGCATCGAATCATCCCTATTTGGTTTGAGTTAGGGGTTCGTTTTATAGTTCGGGTGGAAATTCGCAAGGGAACAGTTTGAGGCTTTCCCCAAGTTTGCGTGAGCACCAGTTGCTTGGAATCAAAATGCAAACGTGCGCCCACCGCCATCGCCCAAGGTAATCCTAACAACACAGAATAGGAACGCACATCTATCACGAGCGCGTTAACGAGGACGTGTACTCGTCCAACTTTTACTGCCACATTCTCAATAATGCCCACGATATTCATCACTTCCTCGTCGGCAGAGACATAATTGTCTTTGCCAGATTGAGGAAGAATGGATCCGAGTCGTCCCGTCTTTCTGACAGTGTCTAAGGATATGGCCACTGCAGAAGACCCTGTGTCGATAAGGACACTAAACGGTTTGCCCCAAACTTCACAATCACATTCCGCACTTTTCCACAGTACCGGCCGAGCTCGTACGAAGTGATATTTTTCTGCTAAGGAGATCGCTGCTACACGTGCAACTTCGGGTTCGCAGGCTTCGGGTTCGGGCGGTGCAACATCCTCTCTTTCCTCCTCCTTCTTCTTTAACATTCGTTGGATGCGCTGGTACGTGAAACGCTTTTGATTCTTCAGACATTGTTGTAACAGTTTGTTGTTTGCAACTTCAGATATGGTGAGCAAGTGTCCCACCGGAGTCGGAACGCGGATATCTAGCTGCTTGAGTGCTCGTAATACATCGATTTCGCCCGTCCTAAACTGTGGGCCAGGATTGGACTCGCGATCGACCCGTTAGAGATCATCAGGGGCCGATCGGATCGCTCCGACCATTCCTGCAAGATGAAGATACTCGAGTGGATCGACCACGTCAGCAGCGTCAGCGGAAGTCTGGATGAAACTCCCGACGTCGGCGCCGTTGAGGTCGAGGGGGAAAGTTGTTCTGGTGCATATGCTACGAGTTCCCCTCCTTGGGCCGTATCCATTAATGCGGTCACTCGTCCCTGATTCAGGGCCACAGGGGCTGCAACCGGCGGGGGTTGATTACGTTTTGGCTGCGGACAGTCCCGGACAAAATGACCGGGCTGTTTGCAGTTAAAACATTCGATCTTTCCTGCTGGATTAGCCGGGTGAGGGAACTGTGCTGGATAGCCAGGAGCGGGTGGGGCGGGTAAGAGAGGAAATGGCGCAGGGGCAAGTCGAGCAGGGGCTAGGTTGGGCTTAATTAGCCTACTCATTATTTGTTCCATCCGCTCCATGTGAGCTGCCTGCATTTGAATCAAGTTGCTCATCCATTCGGACTGCTTGGTAGTGGCCGTATGGATCATTTGGGCAAGATGTAACTTGGTTACGGTCGGCGAGGGTGGTTTGTGAATGATTCCGCTCCTAACTGTCGCTATCGACTAATTCGTTGGGGGAGAGGAAGAGGGAACAGGCGGGATATCGGAAGTAGCCCCGTCGGGAAGGTCATGGTTGGGACGGGGATAAAACCTTTCTACCGCCCGCAGCCACGATCGCCGTTTAGCCGTTGCATCCTGTATGGTATCCGTAATATCTTCATCTCCCTGACTGATGTATTTTTTTGTATCAGCTAGGTCCAGTTCCAACGCTTTAGCGATGATAGCAGATAGCTGGTGTGTCTTAGGCGAGAACTTTTTTTGTAACTTCCCTTTCAACGTCGAACTTCGTAAGTGATCGATGAACACATCTCGAGCGGATTTCTCATCTTGCCCAGATTTGTCCAATGTGGTTTGAAATCGATCCACGAAATCGGGCAGCAATTCCCCTGGTCCTTGTGGTCGAGTTTTGAATACGTACCAGGCGACATCTTCACTGACCGTATCGAATCGAGCCAAGAATGCTTGTTTGAAAGTATTCCAATCTACCCATGTGTGCGTCATGTGACGTATTACGGAGTAGCAAGGTAAGAACACGGGGAAGATCACCCGCGCTGTAACCTTGAGCTTCAACGGCTTCCAGCCAAGCTTCAGGGTGGGTATGATTAGGGAAGAAGGGGAACGGGGCAAGGATGCTAACCACTACCCTATTACCGTCCACCATTGGTATAGCTGGTATAGCAGCACCATATATAGATCTGGTCACTGGGTGATCTCGGCGAGCGGGTGGGGGACTTCTTCTTCTACCTCTCGCCAGTTCGACTTACTATCATCAGAACGACACGTGTCGGCTCCGATACCAACCTCACGCCCTATGCTGTCTTTCGTTCGGAGTGCTAGATGTGTGGAAAGAGGCCCAGAAAAACAGCAAAATGGGGTGTGCCAAGGATTTTTGGAAATTGAGTGTGGGGACACAGACGGAACAGAAATCCCCCGTGCTGGTCCGATAAAGTAAGTCGGTTGCTTTCGCGCGCAGGCACGACGTGAAAAAAAGAGAAAAATCCAAATTCAATCCAGAAAATACTGTCGAGCTTCCCACCATGGTACAGCCCGTCGTTTAGAGCGGAAGGGCTTTGGCGCGCTTCGCGTGTCTCGTTTTCGTATCAAATCCCATCGTCGCTCGCTGGTCAGTTCTGAGTCTGATGTGGAGGGTCTCAGCCGCGTGGCTCTTTCCTTGTGCTTGTCTTCACTCCGTATTCGGTAGTGGAAACCCTTTGCTTCGTAGCGATCGAAACGCTGACACTCTGTGCACAGAGTTCGAGGCCAATGGGGCGCCATTGCCATCCACGGGATGACGATCAACTTGTAAAAGGGGAGCAATATTGAGTAGGGTGGAAAGTGCGTGTCGATAATAACAAACCCAGCCTCTACGAACCTTGAACAACGATTTGCCGGGGGGAAGTAGTATCGTCCGCTGATCTGTGCGACAACTTCTCGTACGTCCCACTCACATACACGTGTCCTTTCCTCGTTGTAAGAAGACAAAATCCCGACAACAATCGTCTAATCAACTCCAGAAAAAAGACGCATACCTCCATACATACATTCACTGTGGAAGGTGCGAAAATGAGATATGCACAGAGATAAAAGATGGATCGTTGAATAATACACACACATCCACCGTTCACAAGACAAGAAGGCGGTGTTCCTGCATAGGGGGACTACCCAGGAAACTAATGGAAGAGTTCCGGAAGAAGTTCTTTTACATAGGAAGAGCATGCAGACTCATTTCCATTTGAGAGAGAGAGAGAGAGAGAGAGAGAGAGAGAGAGAGAGAGAGAGAGAGAGAGAGAGAGAGAGAGAGAGAGAGAGAGA